ACATGTTTGTCGGGGGGGTGAGGAGTGTTTATTACATTCACAGCTGAATATATGTTTTTACATAATAAAACATTCAGAACAATATTTTTGTACAGGAAAAGTCAAATGTTTGCAAACATAAAAGGGGAAGTGTGAAGAGGTACTTCCTGTTTGTCACATTCACAGGTTCTACATGCAGTAAGTGATTTGAGGAGGGGTGAGGAGGGATAATGTCCCCCTTGTTAACCAGCCCCCCCACCATTAAGGGCAGAGCCGGGATACTGCCACCTGCTGTCCACGTGTTCAATAGGAAAGCATTTGTTAAACATTTCTTAGCATTTAATTAGCAGCAGTTAGCACAAAAACACAAGCAACAGCGTGTTAGCAGCAGCTGGTTACCTTTGAGCAGCACACACGTGACTTCAAAGTCCAATCACTACAATGTGTCCTCAGAGGGACATGGCCTGGGAGGTGTCACTGTCAGACATGACAGACACTCTGGTGGAGCTCAGTGGAATCCTGCTGTTCTTACTCTGTGGTACCAGCAGGGGGCGGCGGCAGCAGCGCAGCAACAACATCAGCACATCACGGCGGAAACGTACGCCCACAAAGGCATAGAGGAAAGGGTTCAGGCAGGCGTGGGTGTAAGCCACACTTTTTAACACCTGGTCCACGACGTCGAATCGCTTCATCTCCTCGCAGTTGGTCATTGTGGCGTTGGACGCCTGTGCCGCCTTTATAATCAGCACGCTGTTGTGTGGCAGCTGTGACATTACGAACACCAACACCACCACCAGGATGACACGGATGGCCTTATGTTTCTGGAAGTTTCTGGTGCCGAGCAGTCTGGCCACGATGACACTGTAGCAGAAGCCCATGATGACCACGGGGATGCAGAAGCCCATCATCACCTGCAAGGACAGCACCAGAGTCTTGGTTCGGTTTCCCACATGAGATGGAAAGACCATCCTGCAGTACTGGTGTGAGTCCACCGCAGCAGTGCTGGAGAAGACCAGTTCAGGTGTGGCCAACACCAAAGCGAGAAGCCAAACCCCGACACACACCGCACCACTCCAGCGCCGGCGCTCTGACTGCGAGTTCTGGGCTTTGGTGGTCTGGACGATGACTACGTAGCGGTCCACACTGATGCAGGTGAGCAGCAGTGTGCTGCTGAACAAGTTCACCTTGTAGAGGGCAGAGACCATCTTGCAGAGCGTTGGGCCGAAGTTCCAGCTTTGCAGTGCTTCTGCTGCCCACAAGGGCAGCGTGACCAGGAAGAGCAAGTCGGCAACAGCCAGGT